GAGAAATGGCTTTCAGTTGTGAGCTGTGGCATTTACATCTACCCTGCAAAGATACTGCTGCTGTAAAGTCAAGCTTTTTCTACCGAAAAGTTATTCCAGGCAGTTTTAAAATGTTTTTTAAAATACGTGGGTTATTTTTATTCTCTAGCGTGTAGAGCTGAGTTTGTGACAGCCAGTGTATCTGGGTCTGCGTATGAAATGGTATGGGAGGGCCAGTGTGCTCCAGTTAAAATACTAAAATGTATCTGGAATTGACTTTCTGTAAGAAGAGGCAGCAGGGGGCAAAGGCTTATGGTAAATTTTTTGTTGACCTTCATGGACTGCCATCCACTATCGCCAATGCCCAGAGCTTTGGGCTCAACCTTTACTGCACCCTTCCGGTCACCACTTCACATCTCCGTTTCAATCTCCTCTAACTCTGAGGGGGAGTAGGGAGATGGGGACAGTCTTTGGGCTTAAGATTTCCTGTGTCTTACTTCAGGCCAGAGGATATTTTTGTGGTTGCTTGAAATCTGAAAGAGTTTTGAATTCTAAGCAGGTATCTTTAGCTTTTCCAAAACCAAAACAAAACAAAAAGCTTCTTCCATTCAGAGCTGATTCTTTTAATATATACTGAATAAATAAAAACCAAGCTGTTAGTATGCCCAAAAAATGAGCACATAAACATAGCATGTTTTCCAAGTGGGAAAGAATGAATTTGAAAGTAAAGATGAGAGAGCTCAAACAGGGGCGTCTCTAGGTCAGCTTTTAAATTCATATTTATTCCATGTTCCAAAGTCCATGGCAGTCAATGGAAAGCATCTGCTGGCTTTAACAGGTGTTTATTTAAGATGAGAGGTAGAAGTAGCATAGCAAATTGATACGGAAAGAGCCACCACCAAAGAAAACCCATCCTGGGCATGCAGTAAATGTACTTGGCTGGAAATATTATTGAAGACCAGAGGAGGCGACGATACGGAGTACCTCATGGAGTTGTCTTGTTTCTTGTTTTGCTTGTGGGCTTTGGCCCATCACTTCTTTCTGGATCTGGGTAAGAAAGAGTTTTCCCATCTCTCAGAAGTATTCAAGGGAAATAAATTGAAGGTAAAAAAGGTCTCCATCTGAGGTAGAGAGGCACAGAGAAATTAATTTTAAAAACTGAAACTCTGGCAGATGAGTGGAATTTATTTTAAAACTATTTTTATTTCAATTTGTGACCTTTCAAATTCATTTTAACCTAAGGTGACTTTATGTTTCTCAACAAAACATCTTTTGGAACAACAACATAAAAATACGAGATTTTTTTCTTTCGAGAGTGTTGAAGGGGGTACTTTGACAGTTTGGAAACTCTTCCCCTGACATATTTTCCAAACATCAAAAGAGTCTTAAAACTAACCCTGTTCATTTTGATAAGTCAGCATTTTTGAAGGGGGGATGAGAGAGGGAGTGCTCATGAGAAATCCTCCCGAGGCTCTCTGTCTCTGTCTCTGAAAAATAGATCCCGCCTTCATTTCCTTCTCTGGGCACAGTCACTGCTGAAGAAGTTGTATGTGGTTTTTCTTTTGAAACATGACTGGACCTCAGGCAACAGAGGATTTTGCTTATGTATTCAAGTGGCTGTCAATCAGCCCGTATTGAACACCTTGCCTATGTGTACAGCTACACTAATGCTTATCTTTGCTGCTGCCTGGTATCATTTAACATTCGTGCTCAGTGTCCTCAGACCAGGGGATTAGGTCAGGCCAATTTTATTGTTAAGAATGATCCTGGTGCTGCTAATCTGCTTTTGAATAATAATTTCAAAAAGATTCCCTCTTCCTAAATGCGTTAGTGAGTGCTTCTTCGTGTGGTTAAACTCCTTTTCCATTTCCCAGACGCTCCGCTTCTCGGGCACCTTGGGCAGGCTGTCATTGAGAAGAGAGGAATTGTTCATCCATAGCACGATTTTAGGTCACAGCTTTCCCTGGAAGCCCGCAAGACCTGAGAGGCTTTTGTGTAAAGCATCAGCCTAACCTATTGGATCTGCTATCAAACGTTTCAGATAGCCCACGGTACTTGCAAGATCTAAATTAGAGCGGACAGTAATGCAAAGCATATTACTGGATCTGGGCTGCAGAAGTCCCAGGCCAGCTTGCAAATCTGACAGCTTCCAGCAGAGTTTTACACGGGGAAAAAAAAAAATGACGTACCTGTGTGCATCGGGGAGGGGTGCCCACGTTGGATGCACTGCGAAAACCCAGGTTTCTGTTGGACATCAGGACTTCTTCCCTCTGCAAATTAATGGCGACCAATGGCTGAACCAGCACCGTGGACATAAATCATGGGAAGGAACAGCGAGAAATGAGTACAAGGCTTTTCTTTCTATTTAGTAATTTATCAAGGGAAGTGGCACATTAATAAACAGATCTCCCTTGAGGTGTGGGAGTAACAGAGATAAATATGACTGTCAAATCTGGCCTGCTTCCTTCTGTTAGAGAAGGAGGAGACTGTGGGAATGCAAATGCAGAAAACAATATCTGTATCTGGAAAGACGCATATTATTTGTGGGACAGAAACACTGACAACTCAGCTGAGATGGAGCCCCAGCGCACTAGGTGCAATACATACAGAATAAAACACAAACCCTATCTAAAGGAGCTCATCTAAATAGATGACACTGGGAAATAGGGACACAGAAAGAAGCAGCAACTTGCTCAAGGAGATATGTCTGGGGAGGACCGGGAACAGCACCCAGGTCATGGCCCATGTATAGAATCAAGATGCCTTATAGTCAGAAGAAAAAAAAAGGAAAAGAAAAAAAAGAAAAAGCAAAAAAAAAGTTTAATTAGTTCAAATCAATACATTAATATCTTGCAGACAGAGCACAGTTTTGACCATTATGATATAGACACATGCAACCCTCATGTTGCTCGGTCTAGGGCTCTGGCAGGGCCCAAATTTCATGAACCAGGTGTGAAGTTTTGAAATGCTCCACTCCAGCCTTTAGGCAGGGCCAGCCTTTGCTGAGGGGAGTTTGTTTGCTCGTTTTGGTTTTGTATCCATAGTGCCTCTACAAACCGGCTGCTCCTTTTCCAGCTCCCGAGGGAAGTGCCACTCACCACGGCAGAACAGGGCTGGAAACTGCCAGCCGCAAGCGTTAGGAAAGTTTGAGTCTAGTCCCTCCAAATCATGGGGCAGCTTTAATACTGAGGAGGTGATTTTTACAGACCTGTGTGTTCTTTCTGTTTGCTACCTGATCCTTAAGTCATATTTTCAAGCTTCTACCTACCCCATGGGGCTGCAAAATGTGGTTATACAAAATACTATAAGAAGGACATGTTCAGCAGCTGTGCAACAACCCGATTTTTAGGAAAAATTCCCGATATTGTCAGTATTTTAACTAGCAACTCTTGAAGCTTCTTAGGCATAGGACAAAAGTCACAAGAGTGCTTGGTTCAAGTACCAACTTAGCCTTGGAATTCCTAATGGGCAAGTCATTTATCTTGTGCAACAAGGGACATTATGGGTAATAAGGGGACAGTGGTACTAAACCCCGTTGATTACACAGCACCCAGGCATGGTAATGACAGAGCCACTTAGGTACACGGGTGAGTCATGTGGAGACTGGGAGACTGCAACCCGGCCACTGGTCTCAGGGAAATGTTGACAGAAACTTCTGCGAGCCAACACAAATGAAGGAGCCATTTGGTCACACTGGTGGGATATATTTTACCTCCTTGTATATCCCATTCACCCTCTCACATACCAGCACTGTCGTCAGGAAGGAAAGTTTATGCTCTTGTAAAGTGCCAGGCTTCTATTTGGTGATACACAACCAAAACCAGTCCATCCTACCAACTAGAGGAAAATAGCTTATGTTGCCCGTCTGGGCAAGTTACTGTTTTATTCGCAGTGTTTAAAAGGATATACCCACAGCAAGCTTTCTGGGAAGACCGCCGCTGGAAAAGCCAGGTAGTAATACAATGCTGCGCTCATTGAGGGAAGGAGCTGGAGAAGCTGAGCCCTCCTGCACCCCTGGGTGGATCATGGGGATTACCAGCCAGACCCCATGGCCAAGTGGCATATTTTACCCTTAGAAATCTTTCTTTTAAAAAATTAGTGATCTAAATGCTGCTCTCATTGCTTTGGAGAGATGAGCTGTTCCAGGCAGGGCTAGGGCTTGAGCAGGCTTTGGATCTGGTACCCTGGTATGGGGGAACATTGTGATATCGCCCATCCCCAGCTCCCGTCCATGCCATACCGGAGATCTGCAGGTGGGTCAGGCCTGGGCAGAGTTTCCTCTGGATGAAGTCAGTCGTTCCAGTTAGCAGTGCCGAAATGCTGGGGAAGGCCAAATTCGTACAGTAGTAATTCACCATGTATTGCAGATCCACAAACGGGACTGGCAGGGTTGGAAATGACTTCATGCCCGAATGATTGACAATTGCTAATAGGGTCCAGGCACTGGCAGGTCCCCTCAGAGGGGGAGAGCTTGAACTTTGTGCCTGAGCTGCCAAATTGGTTTTCTTAAAACTCTTAATTTACTTTCGGGGCTCCTGGAGCCTCGCCTCTGTCTTGGATGGTCAGCATTGTGCTCGCGCTCGTTTGGTTTCCGCTCCCTCCGCACACAAGTGCACGCACCATTTCCAAGGGTCGCCCCGGCTCTGATGCGCAGCTCTTCTGGCCCGCTGCTCCTGCCACCGAGTCAACGGGGATGGCTGCGCTCACGGAAACCTTGCGGGGCCTTTTCCCTTTTAATTTTAAGTTAATTTAGTGCCGCTGAAAGGGGGTGATGGACAGGCTTCTGTTTGTCCCCCGAGGAGGGCGAAGCAAGCGGGAGTTCGCAGTGCTGCCTGACCCGTGTCCCTCAGCGCCCAGCAGAGAGGAAACCTCCCGTCAAAGTGTAGCTGGTCCCTGGGCTGCTCCCGGCTCCTGAACATCCCACAGCAGTCAAGAGTGCAGCAGGTCTCAGCACCTTCCGCCCCACCGTGGGAAGGGAGCAGCCCGCTGGTTTTGTCTGACCAAGTCTCTCTTTCCTACAGTGTCCCGGTTTTCGAGCCCACGGGTGACTCCGAGATTAAGCCGAAAACGAGCCCTGTCTATCTCCCCACTGTCTGATGCCAGCATTGATCTCCAGACGATGATCAGGACCTCCCCAAACTCTCTCGTGGCGTATATCAACAACTCCAGAAGCAGTTCAGCGGCGAGTGGCTCCTACGGCCATTTATCTGCCGGAACAATCAGGTAAAGCTTTGGGACCAGCTCTGTTCAGCTGTGTAACTGTCCCCCTAAAAGGAGGGGTGATCCTCCAGCAAGGGAGACCTTCCCTTCCTCACAACCTTTGCTTTTCTCCGTTGGGGCTGTGTAGTGTATTAAGTCAAATAAGCAAACCCATCTGGTTTTGCATGTGGAAGGGTATTTCGTGGCATATGGGGGTGTGGTGCTGGATTGGGATTATTGGTTACCAGATTTCCAGTAATTACAGTATGATCATCCCTCCCTGCAAGCAGAAACGGAGAATAAATTCGTCTAAAAAATGCTTGTTGTGAGCAGTTGGACTGATTAAGAAACCCTCTGATTTAAGAGGTTGCCCCAAAGTATTCTACAAATTATTGGTCCACATCCTTAAAAAACATGTTGCCTGGGCAGATTTAAGAGCCTAATTCTAAAAACATATTTAAAACAGATCTAAGCCCTTGAGTAAAGTTTTGCTCAAACCTTAATTAAAAAGCACTTACACTAGGCAGCTCGCTGTTGTCAATTCCTGCCGTGATTGCTTCACCCAAGTTTCACAATGTTATTATTCTTTTTATTACTTAACTGTTAAAAATATTAGTTCTAATTAACACTGATGTTGCAAAGCAAGGGTTTATAAAGATCGTGCACTCCTAAAATCTGTAGGGGAAAACAGGGGCATTGCCATTAGTAACAGTAACATTATTTTTATCAGTTACTTTATCCGGCAGCATCATTTAGAAGTTGACTGTAGAATCAAACATAATGTTAACTTAAACAGATAGCAACTCCTTGTCTGGTAATCATATTTTTCTAATCTTGTCACCTGTTGTCTTTAACTGGGCATACCTGTAGCATCTCATCTTATACTCAGATTTTAAGCTTTTCAGGGTAGCATCTGGTATTTTCAACAAATCAGTAGAGTGCAGAGTCTGACCCAATGGTCAGTTGTTGGCCCCCGAGGGAATAATCAAGTAATAATACTGAATTTGAAACTCTTCTCAGCGTTCTAAAAGTGTAACTTGAATGTCAGGAATTGTAAAATGGGTTACATATTTAACAGGATAACTGTCAGCAATTTTGGGTGAAAAGACTTTTTTGTTATTATTTTAACAATGTCTTAGTGGCAGGAATGAAATCCTTTCTCACCCACTCAGACCCAGATCCTAGTAGCACTTCAGAAAGTCATTTTTGGACTTTGCTGTAACATAACAAAGCTGTGCAGCAGCCTGTCATCACACCTCATTTGCTGCAGCACGTATTTAACTCCCAGAGCTCTTTTACACTGTAGTGATTTTTGCCCTTTATTCTTTTGGTCAAGTTGTCATTAACTGGTTTGGAACAGAAATACTAATTGTATGGTCACCAGCAATAAATATTTTCTCTAAAAGCAAAATTGGAAATGAAGCGTGTTGCTAATTATGGCCCCGTTCTCTGAGCAGAGACACCATAGGCAGTTTTAGTGATGTGAGAGAAAATACCATGAGGGTAAAGGTTCAGGACAGCCGTCTTTTAAAGGTGTCAAACAATAGATTTTTGGGCTGAGAGTCTACGGTTTGCACATCACCTGCCTAAAGTACAGGGAACAGAGCGCCTCCCGTGCTTCTCTGTCTCTGCCAAGGGGACTCACCCCTGGGAGTGAAGCCCTTCTTTCCAAAAAGCAGAGCTTCATTTTTAATGCTGTTGACTGCTGCATCCTGGCTCGGACCTGTTGCCGCCAGTTAGCGCCCAAGCAGCCAGGAGCTGGTGGTGTTTCTGGTCACCACTGACCTAGATTGGAGCTGAACCAGTGACCTACATATGAAGGGTGACATACTTCAGCAGTCCCCTGAGCCAGCGCTCCCCTCACCTGAATGCAGAGTAAGTTGCATTGTTTTGGACTATGTTAAATGGATAGTTATTCATCCCCGCTGTGATCTGTGCCAGGTGAGCCAGGTGATTCTGGTTTTTTATATCCAGGGTAGCATAACCCCAAGGTTGCGAGTCTGCAGAATAGGTCTGCTTGGGAAAACACGGGAGCCTCGGGGTCTGCAAAGCCAGATGTGTCCAAGTCCTGTCCTCTTCTACACTCCCTGCCAAGGGCTTTAGCTGTTTTTAAACACAGGAAGCAAAGAAATTACAATCAGTCTGATACGTGGGTCGAAATGGTTCACAAGTTTGCTGAGGCACACACGAGACAAATCCTGTCTTTGCAGTAAATCAGGCTGTCAGGTTTATCATGGCATTGAAAGCATCTAGCTGGGGCATTGCAGCCTGTCTCTTGGAGTCTCCAGGAAGACACACTTGAATCAGTCGTTAGCCAATGTGATAAATATTGTTTAAAATAACTCCTCATCATTTTTCCTCCTCCTGTTGCTGTAGCCCGGCGTTCAGCTTCCCCCACCCCATTAATCCCGTGACATACCAGCAGATCCTGACCCAGCAGAGAGGCCTGAGCTCAGCCTTTGGACACACTCCTCCCCTGATCCAGCCATCCCCAACCTTCCCCCCGCGGCAACACATGGCGGTCATCTCCGTCAACCCACCACCAGCACAGATCAGCAGCAACAGCAACTGCATCTCTGACTCCAGCCAGGTAGGGATGGCCATCCTGGTTCTCTCCGTGCATGGCACACGGGGAAATGGAGGCATGTTCTCCATGGGATGAGTGCTACCCTTCATGGTGGCTGTGGGAGTTTTACCCACTCTCTTTTTACTCACGCTCTCCCTTTATGTTGCTTTTTCTTCCTCCTGGCAAAGCGTTTCTGGACTAGTCACAGCCAAATTTTGCACCCACCCCCCTTCCTTGAACACACACATACCTACCCATGCAGGAACCAAAGGCCTTGATCCATCAAAGCGTTGAACATGATATGCAGGGTCATCTCAGGCAGCAAATCTCCTTGAACATGTGTTACGTGCTATCGAAATTGAGGGAATTCAGCACATGCTGGAGTGTTTTGCCAGATAAGCACCCAAGCACTGTGAACCAAGCTTCATCAGTTCCTTCACCAATCCCTCCTTCCTTTTTTCTACTGACATGAACCATGCCAATGGTCTTAAAACACCTTATTGCTTTCCTCTTTAACAAATAAGCGCGTTCTATCTAGGGCCTCTAGCCATTTTACTTATTGTTCCTTCTTTTTCAGTAGCTTTCTCTCTCGGGGTATCCCTGCTGTTGATTTTTACTGTTAATGTTTGCAAAACCAGGGGCCAGATTTTGAAAACTGGGAATGCCATGATGTGTATGAAATCCCACACCTCAAATGCCTGTGAGTTCACACAGGCACATGCATGTGTGCAGAAGCCCTCCACATGCACAGGTTTAGTGGATATGTCTAGCACATTTTTAATCATTTTTCCTTCCCATTTTCATTCCTTGGAAGTTTAAATTGCAGTTGCTTTTCTCCCCAAAGACTTATTTCACCTCATTTCACACCCATTTCAAATTGTTGTTTTAGTTGTATCATACTGAACTTTTCAGACTGGTTTATTGTTTTAGGGTTTCTCATGGCTGCTGTGCTGCAAACTCTGTTTGTTATTGAAGGTTATTTGATTGATTGGTTTTGTTTTCTTCTCACAAACTGGCTACCAAAATAATGTGGCTGGCAGGAGTTATGCCTCTGTTTAATAACTTGCAGGACCAATCTTGGGCAATTAGCAAGAGTGTATTTAAAATGTTGATGTTCCAATTTTATGCACATACAATGGGATGTTTTTTCTCCTGAAGTTGTTCTCATTTTTTGAGAGCTTAGCAAAATATACACATAGCCTTTCTTGCACCCAGCAAGCCGGAGCCCTCGCATGTAACCAGAGCCCCCTCCTCCCCCCAGGAATTCATTTTCTCAACAAGTCATTTCATCGCATTGAGAAATAAATTCGTGGCTTGGGTGGGGGTTGGATAAGGTTTTGATGGCTTTGACAGAGACTGGATCACTCTGAAACAGAGCAGCAGTGGCGAGGCCAAGCTCACTGGTGAGCCTGCAGAAGCTGACACTGTCCTTGACTCTTCCCTCTCTTCCATCTCTCTGTCTTGCACAAGCCCACACGGCAATTATGGCCAGCAGGCCAATATGCTGTTGTCCCCAGCCACTCCTGAAGTTCAACCTTGATTTTTTAGTGAATTTTAATGAAGAGGCGGGCTGCAGTCTGTCTCCCATCTCAAACCCCGGTGCCATATCTTGCTTGGTTTTCTTTCCTAGAGCAAGCAGAGCAGCGAGTCGGCCGTGAGCAGCACAGTCAATCCAGTAATTAACAAGCGCAGCAAAGTCAAGACTGAAGTCGAGGGCTTGCCCCCAGCGTCCCCAACCACACAGGTAACCTTCTTGGTGCAAGACTTGTTGTGGCAGCGAGCTGCTGGGTCTCGTTGTCTTTGGGAATGATACTCTTGGCACCTTTTGCTGCAGCTGGGAGCAAGGCATCCAAGTCTGCTGGGCAGGTGGGTGTCTCTTGGAGCACGAAGCCCAGCAAGGTACAGGGCAGAGCTGCAGTGACTGAGTGAAGCATTCAATGGGTGCTTGGGACTCAGCTTGTTGTTGCTGTGCTTGCATAGAAAAAACGGAGGGAGGGAATATTTCAAGCGTGATAACTTTAAAAATGATGTCTGAGTTTTCTCTTGCTGCAAAGCAAGCAGCATTAGTGTCTCAGAGCAAACATAGATTACGAGGGAATCTTGCATGTAGGTAGAAAGCTTGCAAAAAAAGGACGACTTCTTGATTCAACAAGGAATTGCTCCTAGAAACATCCTTTACACTGGTGACACAACATTTGACACCAAGAAGGGCCCAAAGGCCTTTGCTTTCTTTCCAGAGCTCTGTGATTGCAAACTGTTTAATGGCTGACAGTATCCATCTGACCGTCCTTTATCACAACTGTAAACTATCAGGAGTGCTCTGGGCACTTCATTTTCATGAAATATTAGGCTGTGTTATTGTCAAGCGAATGGAAGAGTTGATGACAAATTTCTCCTTCTGCCCTGGTTCAGGAGCAGGTCTCAGCATGATGCATGGGGACAGCAACGTGTGCAGTCATCAGGGGGCTGGTAAAATTGATGAAGATAGCATATCAGGGAAAGATAAACATGCTGTAGTCAGCATGATTAGGGCAAAGAGGCATCTCTCTGGAGCTTTGAGTTTAGGAGTGCATCTACACGCTGCTGCAAAAGCACATGCCCTGAAAAACCAATCTGGCCACCACCCGGGCTAATAGGGCCACGTGTTTATTTCTTGCAGCAAATGAAAAAAAGATCTGAAAGCCATCATCTGCTTTCTCAAGCACCTGTAGCAGAGGGGCTGTGGGACAGACAGCTGCTTGCTCGATGGCTGTCATCCTCCGTTCTCTGCTCCGATTTGAAGAGGTGTACACCCAACAGCAGGGAGTGCTTGGGTAGCATTAGCCTGGCTCAACCCTGTAGCCCCGCCCCAGAGTTTTATCCACTGAGCCTTATGTGAAATAAGCACTGAAAGAAGGGGGAGAATCGTTTAAAGTGGTACAAGGACTTGATTAGAATAGCAAGGTGAAATTAAGAGAAGGAAAATGCACGCTGGTTGTCTAGCAGTTCCTAATGAGGAGACCTGTGAAGTAATACCCCAAGGGAAATGTAGGCTTCACGTCTTGCAGCATTTCCGTACTGACTAGGAAATTACTGGAAAGTACCTTGTAAGAGACAGCCCATTCTTGGCAAGGAGAACAGGTTAAAAGACTGAACGTAGTGGGGGTCTCCTCTTCAGTTGGTCTAAGCGACAGCAACTTGTTAAATTTGGGGATTCCTGTTCTGCAGGAGACTGTGCTGAAAAGTTGAGTTACTGTCAGTTAATTATTGACTGATACATTTTTTGCAGAGTATGAAGCTCAGCCATCCCAAAAAAAGCATGCATGTGTGTGTTTTGTTTTGGAAATGCTGTACTGGAAACGCCTCATGTGAGTTGTGGTTTGGGTGTTTAAAATCCTTGGCCAGACAGTATCTCCCATGATGGCTTGCGCTATAAAAAATGCAATCCAGACAAGATTTGTGGAACACAGTAGAGCACCAGGCATGAGGGACCTGAGTTACTGTGCTCTTATGATACCACAATAGCTCCAGTACAGATTCAGATTAATGTTGCATTAGCCAGAAATGAAACAAGTCAATCCTCTTCAACAAATTCAAATGGTTTCAATTCCATTTTTCCAACAGAAAGTATAAAAATTTTGGCAAAATAAGATTTTTAGTAGAAAATTTCACTTTTCCAGAGACCACACTTTGCATGGAGAGAAATGTTTCAACAAAAATAATGTTCACAGCTCAACCAAATAGGAATTGCAGGAAAAAGAAGCTGCTGTTTGAACTTTCTCGGACTATTGCTTTGGGCGCTGATATAGTTTGAATCTCCAGAAGTCTTTCTGTAAATGACTACAGTTTCCTGTCCCAAGAGCCACCTTACAATATTTTTTTTTTTTTAAATTAAGAGCTAATTAAAACAAATCTATTCCTCTCCATATCTAAACTTTTGAATTGAAAAGTCACAGCTGGCATGCATGTCATGAGTTAGTTAATGAAAATTGTTGAACTTTCGTACAGTACATCTCACTTTCCGAGCCATATAATACCATTAAGTCATTAATCATTGCAGCCCCTCAGTAGGCATTGGGAAGGTGTTGGTGGGGAAGGAGATGGCAGACAGATAGGTCCATTTGGGCAGGTCAGAGGCAGTTTGTGATGGCTCTGGCTGTGTTTACACACTTATGGGGCCAACTGGAGCATCAGATCATGAGGAACAGCGTCTGATGTGGTCACTCACTCCAGATGCTCTTCTCTAAAGCTGTCCTGGAGGTGGGATGCTCTGTGCTGGGCAGTAGTAGTAATTGGGAGGAAAGGGAATGAAGGGGGTCAAAACCTGCAAGGTTTTGTATTGCTAAATTCCCAAGCCAATATTGGCTGCTGATTGCCTTGTCTGTAGTACAAGCATCTGACGCACACAGAGGCGACAGTTGTCCTTACATCTGGATTGTACTAATTATGTTGTATGTTACACTATTGTGTAGGTGTCAATGCTTTTATCCTCGTAGCAGCCATAAAAAAATCTTCTGTGCTTCATTTAGCACTGAGGAGCTGGCTAGACAGAGAAGTTAAGGAGAGAGCTCACAGCGTGCCCAGCATTAAACTAACTCATTTATGAGTCCAGAGCCCCTGGAGCTCTGCTCTGCAGCTCACTCCATCACGGGGTCTTGCTCAAGCTTCCCAAATTTGCCAATCTCAGAGGAGTGCTTCGGGGGCTCAACACTTTGTTCCTGTGGAGCACCCTGCAAGCATAAATCTTTGGATAAGAATTAGGCATAATTTTCTATTGAAAGATGCAGAAAACAGGAACTCCCCTCCCCAACCCATGTCAGGTGAGTGTGGTAACCACTAGTTTCTGACTGCTCTGTGGTTTCTTCATGCTCCTATCTCCCCACTCCCCCCAGATCAGAAGTTTTGCTCCAGCAAAGGATGAAACCAATCTTTGGGTAAGAATTAGGCATAATTTTCTCATCTATTGAAAGATGCAGAAAACAGGAACTCCCCTCCCCAACCCATGTCAGGTGAGTGTGGTAACCACTAGTTTCTGACTGCTCTGTGGTTTCTTCATGCTCCTATTTCCCCACTCCCCCCAGATCAGAAGTTTTGCTCCAGCAAAGGATGAAACCAAAGGTCAAAAGCCAGCCTTTTCCTTTCTCCAGCCTTTCCTGGGACTGCCCACGACCTGACTGGAGCCAGCCACCGCTGCAACCATGGCTTTGGGGTGTTTTGTGTCTTGTTATTAACTCTGATCCATTTCTACCAAAACTCTGTAACTCATTATTTCACAGTAATCAAGGATGTTCTGTTGCCACAATGAGCATGGTTTTGTGATCAGTTGATACCTGCCCTGTAATCTATGAGTGTCGGAGGAATTCAAATGAAAGAAGTTCACCTTATACAATGCACCGTTGTGTGTTGCAGGAGCATCTGACAGACCTGAAAGAAGATCTAGATAAGGATGAATGTAAACAGGAGCCTGAGGTTATTTATGAGACGAACTGTCACTGGGAAGGGTGCACAAAGGAATATGACACTCAAGAGCAGCTCGTCCATGTGAGTAATGGTTTGGAGGAAACCCCAGCGATAAATTTGGGTTTCTGTGCACTTGTCCTCATTTTTTATCACTAGCTGCTGTACAGCCAGAGCTCACTCTGGGAGCTACTAAAGGTGCAAATCAGAGATACGGTGTGTAAACACTGCCAAAGCAGGTCGCTGCTCCCTGAGGAGTTTAGCTGCAGAAAGCCTCTCATAGATTATTTGATGTTGCTCTCTTCTCAGCTGCTGAGGCTGCAGTTTCAGTCTCCCTCGTGCACAACCCAACGACAGAAGGCTCTGTGCAGAGGATCTGATCAGAAAATGGGGAAGGGGGCTGAGCCCTTCCCTCTTCCCTGGCCATATTCACTGAGCACCTACCAGCTATGGGTCAGGGGTCGTCCATACTGTCCTCAGTCCTTGTCCAGGCCGTGAAAGCCTTTTATGCTGCTGTGGCATGAGCTGTGGGGCCATATCACTTAGGGGCTGTTGACCTGCTCAGCTCATTCCTCCCACAAAAATAGAGCACTTCCAGAGTTTGGAGACATGCTCCAGTCTCTCCGTCAGGGCCTGAAATAGAGAAAGTGGGTTGATTTTTTAAAAATTGGGAAATAGGGCTTCCGTAATCACAGTGATATCCCCAAACCAGTGTCAGAACTACTCTCTGAAGGATCTCCAAACCAAGTCATTAATCAGATTTTCAGTTCTAATTAATTCCAAGAACCTTTTGTGTGCTTTGCTTCACCTGGGCATCCACCATTTGGTTTCCTTTGGCTTCTGGGGTCAACAAATCCCTCAAACTTGGAGCAAGTCCCTGTGAAATCAGACATGATCTGTGTCTGAGCCCCATCCTGCCCCCAGCCTAGCACCCTCCCAGTCCTCATTTTGGGTCTGTCGTGTGAGCCCCATTTGTTTGAAGCCAGCTCAGAGCTGCTGGGAATTCACCAGCCCCAGCAACCCTGCTGCTTGCAGCAAAATGTTGGCTTGAGCAAATTTTGTGACAGGATCCACTATCTTCTCCTTTCCTTCAGCCTTTTGCTGCTTGCCTCAGCCTGGCTCCAAGCCTGCCAGGGGCCACCCGTGTGCCATTCACATGTAGCTCTCTTTCTGAGGGCTCGTGTCTGCTCTCATCCTTTTTTATATATCTTCATTTTAGTCATGTTTAGAGGCCGCCACGTATGCATCAGTCTCTGTTTCTCCAAGCTCTGTGCACAAACATTATCTTAGCCCAGAGGGACCACACTCTAAATGATAATTTTGGGCATATGCTCTTCTTCCATCTAAGGCTAGCACTTGCCCGCCTCTGCCAGAAGTCACTGGTTCAGTGCAACAAGTCCTTGAGTACAGGCAGATTTGGAAATGGTTTTCAGGGCCAAATGAGTGATAAGGTGCTTAATGGGTTGCACGTTGCATGCCACGAGACGTTGCTTTTCTGGGGTTAAACCACAGCAGCCCTGTCGGATGGCCTGGGCTCACATTTGTCCAGCAGTATTTGTGTGTTTCCCTCTCAGACGTAAGAAAAACTCTTTAACTCTCCCCAGAGCAAAGTGCAGGGCAGATCCAGGCAGCTCAGCACAATTTATTTCCAGAGAAAACCCAAAGAAAAATATTTGACAGAATGTCCAAGATTTTCCTAAATTTGGAAGGTTATAAAAACGGAGGCTTCTGTACTATGATTACTAGCAACATGGGGTTGTGGATTTGGGATGCCCAAAATACACATGCAAATGAAATACAGATGTCGTGGGCCAACTTCTGAGAAGGTGGCATCCCACCATGCATGGAAAAACTCTAGTTTGTGTGCAGAGCAAAGTACCTGGGCGTGCAGGGTCCGTTCTTCACACACAGTGGGTAATGTGCTTGTGGGAAAAGTGCATGTCAACAGGGAGCAGCAGGAGTGAGGACATATTTTTGCAAGCACCACTGCTGCTCCCAGCCTCAAAGGTCACACTCACTGTTTGAGAGAAGCCCAAGCAAAGCCTTGGCCAGGTGGGGATTTGATAGGGGCTGTGGAGCCATAGCTGAAGTGTGGTGAGTTGTGCAACTGCTCCTCCACCATGTGATGGGAAGCAGATGTTGCCCAGACAGTGAGTTAATAAGCCTGAAGGGGGACTACAGTCCCCCTCCCATAAATATGTCTTCCTCTGACCTAAACAGGACCCAACAGGCGAGCTAGTGCACTTCCCCACTCCTAGCACTGCTGTGTGTAGTCTTGGTTGCAAGTCAGACTCCCACGCAAACAGAGCCAGGAGATGTATCTTCCCAGTCTGGTCTGGATGTGGTTTAGTGTGTCCATGGGTCTCCTGGGAGGTTCACCAAATTTCCGCCATCTGAGGCTAAAATCTTGCTCCGATGCCATGTTATAAAACCAGAACCGTAGGCAGCTGAGCTCCAAACCCATCCGAACCCTCTCCCAAACTCAGCCTCCCCCCACCCTCCTGGCACGCAGCTTTGGCTCTCGGTGTTTACCCGTGGTGCCCAAGGGACCAGCTGAGCTCCATGCACCTCGTCTTGTCCCTGGGTAGACCTGGTGCCCCAAGCAGCAGATTCCTGTCCCCAGGATTGGGCTGTGGCACACAAAATGCCAGGGCTGGATTCAGATGGGACCGTGAAGGCCCATGACTCTGTTTTAACATGTTTTTGTGTCCTTGTGCTGCCCCACTACCCCCAGAACGTCTCATCCCGCGCTGCAACATGTGAGCCTGGCCTTGGCCGGGATGAAGGCGGGGGCTGGAAAAAAATCTCTGCAAAAAAACAAAACCCAAACCCAAAGTGGTTTATTTTAGGATTTCCTGTCAGTGAATGTCTGCTGAAAACACAGGAGCGAGGACAGGCATTATTTTTGGCAGCGAGACCCCATTCAGAGAGACAAGGCCGCTGCGGGAACAACGCTGCCGCCGGGCCGGTCTCCGGCTCTCTTTATTTTCGGCAGGGCTTCATCTGCCCCCAGGCTGGGAAAAAGCGACCCTTGTCTTCCTCCCAGCATGGACGAAGGCACCATTCTGGGTCTGGCTTTTCAACACCCCAGCGCAGGATTTTACGGACCGGAGTAATTAGCAGTAATTGAGGCCGCCGAGCTTTCCTTGGCGCATAGCTCGCAGATGCTGTCATTTCCTGCCAGCCGCCCGCGCTGGACGGCAGGTGGATGTCTTAGGGCCGGCGTACGGGCTGGCGCGCAAGCAGGCGTAGAATCATAGAATCGTTTAGGTTGGAAAAGACCTTTAAGATCGTTGAGTCCAACCGAGGCTTGTCTCCTCCTCTCCCCCATCCTCCAAGCGCCCCAGGAAAGGGTCCCAGCTGCGTAAATGCGGCACAGGAGGGTTCGGCAGAGACAAAAATGACTCCGTTATTCTCTCCAACAGTGGCGTCAGGCTGCCCGGGAGACACTGAGGGGGCTCCTCCCTCCCCAGCACTATGGGTCCCCATTGCTTTTGCAAACCTCCCGTTTATAGCTGTTTTGGACCCGGCGCCCAGTGTGCTGGGTGCTGTGCGCCTTCTCCTGCAGGACACACCAGTCCGGGGAGCTGGCTCCCGTGTCCCTGGTGTTACCTGTGCACCTGGGATCCCGGCGCAATGCCTGACCACAAGCACTGGGGAGGGAAAGGCTGGCTTTTGGAGCACTGTGCGTGCTTTGCTGGCATCAGCTCTTCCAGGAGTGACCTGCTTCTCGCTCTCTCCTACCAGCACATCAACAACGATCACATCCATGGGGAGAAGAAGGAGTTTGTCTGCCGCTGGCAGGACTGCACGCGGGAGCAGAAGCCCTTCAAGGCTCAGTATATGTTGGTGGTGCACATGCGAAGACACACCGGAGAGAAGCCACACAAGTGCACGGTGAGCTGGAAGGGACCCATGGTGCATCTCAGCTTGGCAAGTGGGACACTGGACTTTGGTGGTCACACAAATGTGTGTGCAGACACAGGCATGGCTTCAAACAGGGCTCTCCCAGGGTACCTCAGGGCCAGTCCAGCTCTCTGTGTCCGGGTTATAACTTGCAGGTTACACCCTGGGGACAGGGCAAGTGGTCTAGGAGGGTGGTCAAGGTGTTAGTGGGCAAAACTGCATTTCCTTGGGGAAAATGGGTTCAGCTCTGCCACAGAGATCCAGAATGACTCAGGACAAGTCACTTAAGGTGGAAAACCAGCCAATTTAGTTGCTTACATCCAAGAAGGAAATCCAGTAACCCTACACTGTGGGGAACCACCTAACCCTGGTCACGTCTAACTCAGCATCACCCAGTACTGCTGCTCGGGCTGCAAGTTTCCCTCACCCACATGCCCGAGTGTGCACACAAGCCTCCTTCCAGCCTGGGGAGCTGGGCCAACGCCTCCTGCCTCTGCTGTCTTAATCCAGAGGTGAGGTCAACCCCTGGGTGCCTAAATTCCAAGAGGAGCTCAGTCCCCAGACCTTCTGCATGCAAGCAGCACTGTGCCTAGTGTTAAACACTGCCTGAGGAAGAGCATGGGGTGCTATTTTGTATCTCAGCCCTGTGGGTACAGGCTGATCTAGCACATGGGAGAGCTGGGCTCACTTCCTCCTCGAGATATTAAAGCCCATATCTACCCTCACACGTGGAGTCTCCGTTAACCGCACCACTGGCTGACATGGGGCAGCCAAGGACGCCTGATGGGGGGCACAAGAGAGAAGCGAGCTGTGGAGTTTAGTGCCTGTGGCCAACTGGTAGGAGAGGAGAGGTGTTCACCATCTCTTTCCACATATGCTTCAGCCCTTTTTCCTCCTGAAGGTCCATCCCTGGCTTTTGATATCCTCTGCTCCCTGCCTTCTCCTCCTGCCAGTTTTTCGTACCTCCTCCACTGTCAGCATTACACCGTTCCTCTCCCCAGAGTCTCGGGGATGAGCCTCTCTTTTTGCTCGGCAGATGTCTGAGCCCTACTCCCATATCTTCCTCCTCTTCTGCTCCATTAGTCACTTCCAGCCCTGCTCACTCCCTGGCTCTGCCCCAGCTCCTGCTTACAAATATTAGGATATGTATGATTTGCTTGCTGCATGACTCCTTATCAATCTTCCAGCTCTGTGTTCATTTAATTTAGAGCATAAGCTCCCCGGGGCACAGGGCCATGTCCTTTGTTTTAATCTTCTAAAGCACTTTGCCCAGTTCTAGTGCTTTACCAATCTTCCTTAAAAGTATCAAGGAATATTGATCATTGGTGTGCTACAAAGCGAGCAGTGAGGGAAAGTCTAGCCCTGCCTTTGCAGGTAGAAGGACTCAGAAGACAAAAAGCAGCAGGGACTGCATCCTCTTCAGTGCTGTAATGGAGCAGGAGAAAGCACCGCTGCACAATCCTCCCTCTTTTGAGCCTCGGTTGTGTTGCACTGGAGCAGTGGCAAGGCTGTGTGTGTTTGAGTCTCAAGTCATCTTCTGCCTCCTCGAGAACTGCAGTCCCTCCATGTGCTGTATGTCACAGCAACTCTCCCCGAACTGGAGTAGCACCGGTTTCCAATTGCCTGGGATACATGGCAGCTCTGCAGACAGTGCCCTTCTGTGGCAGAGCATTCCTTGTCCGAGTCTGGCAGTGATTTTTCAAAGCGCCATTTGTTTCAGACAAGAAGTTTGTGGTGTACATAAAGCTACAGATGAGCCCAATTGCAGCCTGGGATTCGGTCAAGGATTATTTCAACAGATGACAGCCAGAACTCCCACTGACATAATCAAATCCACGCATAAGAGTGGAAACAACTGCTTTGAACATGCACAGGCTGCTTTGTTGAGAAGCCCTTATTTGAAAATGTGACCTCAGTACTTTTGCTCTTAATAACTGCATTTTTGTGTCAGTATCCAGCAAAACCAGAATGGACACATGAGTTGCCTCGTGCTGAATTCCCTTTGTTTTCTAGCAAGTGGAATGATATATTTCAATAACCATAAGCGACTTGAGTTGTAAATGACTGTTTGCACAGGGCAAGAGAAGAAAGAGATATAACTGTACTACCTCAAAGTTGTGGCATGTTCTTTGGGCCAAATAGGCTAATGAAAGTTGTCTGAGGAAGGCGAACTGGATCCATCCCACCCCAACAAAGCTGTGGAAGGAATCAGCTCTTGCAGGGTGCTCCTACTGTCCTTGAAGAGATCTGGATATCTCAAGAGAGCAGAGCAAGGTTGCCGTGTGTCCACCATCCCTATGCTAGACCTTAAAGGGAATCTTAAGTAACCCTACTTCTTTTCCAGTACAACAAAGTTACATGGGATCAACCTGTGCCTACGTGCTTCATGGATTTCATGGGCTGCATGTTTGCCTCACTCCTTAGCAGTGCAGGCGGGTCCTATGCCCATGGAGCACAAGGAGACAGGTACCGTTGCTATTGCATGCAGCTGCCTTTGGCCTCTGCCCAAAAGGGCCAGATCTCTGGACATGTAGGACCACTCAGCTGCCCACAGGGAAATCAGACACTGAGCTGTGGCATGACCTGTCCTGCTGTAACACCAGCTTCTTCACTGGCCAAGACTCAAACATAGCAACGTGAAGTCCTGTCACATCTGGACACGTTTAAGTGATCTGACTAAAATACAACACCTTGTGGCTTGCATACATTACAACAGGAGGAGCTGCTTGTTGAAATTTAAAGTGTGTTTTAAGGTGCTTGCATAGGAAGTGCAGCATGGGCTTTTCAACACTCCCAGCTGAACAGCGAGTGCAGCGTTTGGCTAGAATTAGGAAGGGAGCCTTGCATTTCTTAAAGCCTCTTCCAGTGTTTGTAAGTTCCTACTTGTTTCATCAAAGAGCATTTAAGACGGCCTCCTTGGTTTGAGGTGAAATCCTCCCGTGCTGCAGACAGGGCAGGTGCAGGGAGAAGCCTCCAGCCCAGCCAGAGCGGAGGGTGGCAGGACTTACGTCTCCCGAAGCCTCACCATGTCTCCCAAGCTGGTCCTTCTAGTTGTGTGGGCAGCTGGTTTCCTTCCATGAGGAAGGTTCCTGGCTTGTTTTGTCATCCAAAAATCCATCTGTCTTCAAGATTGAGAGTCTTGTTTTTTAAACTGGCAGTGTCAGACGGCCTGACCACAGCATCTTCCGAGAGTAGACCCAAGCTGTAATTTCGGAAACTTCAAAGCTTGCTAGATTTCTGCTTGTGTGTTAGAGAATGGTCTGGCCTTTCCAACGCTGGTGCTAGTGAAGTTGCAAGGCTGGTGAAACTGTCAAGAAGCCGTCAGTTCTCTGGGTGGGAAGGAGAGGGCCTCTGTTTCTGAGCGTGTTAGCTGCAGAGGGATGGCAGGAGGGGCTAGGAGAGCCTCGGGAGGAGTGGAGGAGTGTTCAACGCTGCTGGAAAAAAGAGTCTCTTGTTGAAATGTCAGGTGGGTACCCAACAAGGAGCAGCACCTTAAATATGACTCACTGCTGAAACTCTCAGCCTACCTAGGGAAGCAAATTCTCCCAACAAAGTGGATGTTGTTCCCTAAAACACAAGCCCTTTAAAGGGAAGAAAAAAAGAAAGAATGAGAAACAGATGAGAAGGGTTTAGGCAGGGGGAAAATCAAATTTTTCTGGTTAATTAATCACTCCTCTTGTGTTTTTTTATTTTAGTTTGAGGGTTGTTCCAAAGCCTATTCCCGCCTGGAGAACTTAAAGACACACCTGAGGTCCCACACTGGAGAAAAACCCTATGTCTGTGAACACGAAGGCTGCAATAAAGCCTTTTCCAATGCCTCGGACAGAGCCAAGCACCAGAACAGGACACATTCCAATGAGGTAAGCCTGGGCTCACCGCAGCTCAGCGGAGGGCTTTTTTTTTAATTTTGCTGACAATAAAAATACACTTTACACGCTGGACTCATGTAAAAAGAAACGTACTGTAATGAGAGGTTTTTCTTATTTTTTAATGGGATTTATTTTGCTGGAGAGCCAGACCACATTAGCTTTATATTTGTGAAAGCCATGTTTGAAATCATAAACAGATGTTAAAGTATGCAAACTTTTTAATCGGCTTTGGAAATTAAAGCAAGCATTTTCCAAATTTATAATTTTTAATAGCACAAATAGGATTGTACAGTTGCGCATGTGGTGTTTAATATTACTGTGGAGCAGACTTGCAGTAGTATAACAGCTACCCTGGATCCTGACGCTCTGGAAATAATACTCCCTCCATCGTTTGATGTACAATGATAGAGCACAATGCAATGCTTTGTTAACCTTGGCTAATTAAGACCCACTATTAGTAGTTGGGGAGCAGAGGAAATTGCCTTTATTGTAACGCATGTGATGGTCTGTTGCAATCAACCACGGCGGACGATTGAAATTTATATTACCACTAATTAGCTGACAGGGGAAGAAAAAACAACACTCCAAAGTTCTAATAGTGTTTGCAGCCATGAAGAATTCCGTCTGTAGCTTAATTTGCAACATTTTAAATATAGACTATTGGAGAACGGAACACAATTGCCACAGATGACAGCTTTTTAAAGCAATGCTGTGTCTACACAGGGCTTGTTGGGAGTATTTCTATCTCTGGCATAATATCAGTCAGTGATAACCAAAGCTCTGTAGGTTTCAGAGATTCTGATGGAGTCAGAATAAGGACTCAAAAGTCTAGGATGCCCTTTCATGCTGTGTGATGCTGAGATGGACCCAATAAATGGCCTGGCTCCCAGTGTTACTTGAATTGGTTTGGGTATGAACCCGAACGTCAGGATTGTCCTTTTACTAGTGAGCCGCTTATCCAGCAGGACACAGGTTAAAATTAATCCATATCCGCACTGGCACTGGGTAGTCTGGGGTTGGTTTAAGGCTACGCCGACCTTGAGGCCAGGAGGGATCAACAAGACATGCAACCTCTCGTCTGCTCAGCAACCTGCATTCCCAGTAATTGGTGTTTGACTAAAACATCATTTGCTCTCAGTTAAAGGTTCTTCCCCTAAAAGGTAGGTAGTTGTGATTTAATCTCACATTTCAGGTATTAGAAATTGCTTGTTTTCCAGCCCTGGATGCTTTCTCTGCCTTCCTCCAGTGCTAGATCCAATGTCCCTTTCATTGTTGCTATTTCTACCTCATAACATGACAGTGTTAAGTCACTCTCCATTTTCTTTCTCATAAGGCAAATAAGTCAATCAAGCCACTGAAGATTCCCATTACTGCAACATTTTTTCCTGTCCTTAAATCAATTTTGCATCTCTCTTCCATCCCTGAGGATTCTCATGTGGATGGATCAAGACTGCTGGTACAACTTTCAGTGCTGGATAAAGACTCATTCTGCCCAATTTGTGCACACTGAAGCAGTATGTGAGCTACTTTTTGCCCATAGATCACTTGAGCTCGGATGCCTAGAGCTTTTCCAGGATCCTTCCTAGGCAGGCCACATTTCCCTTCTGTTGGGCCAGCTGGTGTCCCATGTTCCTACATGTGGAATTTTGGCTTTGGCTGTTTTATTAAATGTCATTTCTTTGATGGGTTCAGCTTTCCAAGTGATCCAGATCTGGAGCTGCACTGGATCTGGGATGACTCCTCACTTCGTCTGAGCAGAGCTTGGACACACTTGAAGGTCGGCTCCTTTGGGTTCCCATTGTGCAAGGTGATTCTGTAGGGCAGGAGCATCCAACTCCTTGCCTATGGTGGACCCTGATCTAATATGTTGACACGTGGCACAAGTGGCATCCAACAACACAAATTAAAGACTCAGATAACAGACAGGGATTTTATCCTCTGCTGTTGCTTCCCCTGGAAGATGCCAAAGCCTTCTCAGATGCAGAAAACTAGTGGAGGATTTGTACCAGACCAGCTGAGCCTTACCACGGGAACTACATGACACTGCATGATCTTACATTTTGCGATCATGCTCACTCCTGAACTGCGGTTCAAGCCTCCTTGGTGCTACACAGGCATGCCCTAAGACTTGTGGGAGATCTGTAGGCTCTCTGGGACATATTTTTGACATCCTCTTTTTGAGGAACATATAACATGATCCTTTGCAACAGATGACATCCCTCATGGCAAAGCTGATTGCATTGGGCAGCAGGCCCAGGTGAGGGTCCTGCAGCGAGCTGTGCCACGACCAGTGAGTTATCAAACTGCACTGAGACCTTGGCTCGCAAAACCACATGGATGCAAAGGAGGAGTTTGTGGCTGTGAATATTTCCCATTACCCATTGGTAACTCTATTGTGGTTCCTAGCTACCTACTAAATATTTTCCTCTGCTTGCAGTGTTTACTCGGGATACACCACAGTTTCAGAGTTAGTCATCCATGTCTCCTCTAAGGGGGAAGTTCCAGGTTCCCTGTATTTGTCTCTCTCATTGTGTGACAGGACGTAGGTGTATGGTCCAAACATGCTGAAGTTCAAGGCTCGGGATATATTACCACGATGGATTTTTTTTGATTGTTGAAATGTCACATGCACTATTTCATTCTAAACTTCCAGTGACTATTTGAATCCCTTCAGGGGATACCTTCAAAGTTACTCCTGGGAAAAGGACTTTCATCTCTAGTGCGTACACTAGAGAAGAGTGGCATGAGTTCACGGCCAGCCAAAGGTTCAGAGTGACATTTTCTCCAATTCAAGCTAAACAAGGGTAAAAGGCAGAAATTCAGTTCTGCTGAGTGCCTGGGAAGTTCTCCAGCTCTCCCACCCTAAGGAGTATCATGCTGTATCTGTATGGGAGTAGGAGGGAGGCATCTGAGATATCTAAATTTTTGACTTCACAAGGGCATGCACTGCATTAGATGTCAGAATCTGGACAACCCAGGGGATATATGAAGGCATGCCAACAAAACAGCAGTTGTGCTCAGTTCAGTCATAGGAGGTATGGCCTGATGAAGAGGATGGTCGTACCCCGTTAGGTGGAGTGTCTGCTGTCCAAGCAACAGCAATCGTGTTACCCTAATTACTGGTGTCTGAAAAATCAGAAATACTGGGCCTAAAAAGATCTTTATAAAAAATCCTTGAACTGTTTTATGTAGGGTTTTCTAGCATGTGTGATGCGGGTTCTGTTTTTTAGAATAGGTTTTAATAGCAGCAATAATATTTCTATAATGCCTAGTCCAAAAGGTTGCATGAGATTTATAAACAAACTATTTTACTTTTTGTGCTTTGGTTTACCCAGCTTTAAAATATATTAAATATTTACCTCACTGGGGTGTTACGAGGATTTAGTTTGTTCAAGTGATGTGCCAAGATCAGTCAGGAAGCATGCTTTTGAATAAAAAACAGACTTACAGTGTTTTTCATGTGATGATGCTGGCTTTCTGCAAAGAATATACTCCTTTGTACTTTTTCACTTAAGCTTCTGGACAAAATTACAAAACAGATAAAAAAAAAGAATAGGAATGGTCATTTTGGGTAGCCTTCAAACAACATCTACCTGTTTTTTTTCATGGATCTATCCGAGTGCATTGGCAGAAAAATACTTAGAGTAGCTGTGAGGCTGAAAGCGGAACTTCTGATGAATTCAGAGCTTCCAGCGCAGCACCACCAGCTCAAACAACTGCAGCGCTAATACACTTTGGAATTGGAAACTCAATAAAAAAAAAGTTAAAAGAAGAAAAGTATCTGTTTGGAGACTTCTGTTTTCAGAAGCATGGCTTCAGCCTTGTTTTCCTATGGCAATCAATGATTCATGAATTCGGGACTAGAGTGCTATCGTCTGAAAAAAACATTGCATGCCTGTGGTTTGTTTTGCACAATAACAGATTTCAAGGTGACAGGTGCTGGAGTGGTATGATAGATTGGGTAGGGTGAATCCAGTCTGGCTTGGTTTCGCTGGAATTCCATCAGCCAGAAGGTCTCAGACATTTTCTTGGTGTAGACCCCACCTTAGCAGAGAGAATGTGTTATGGCCAGTCCCCTACATCACCTCCCTCCCATCCGTAATCAGGAAACATTCCTGTGGCCACCCGAGCAAATACATACATGGGAAAGTAATATTAGGAAAGTATTTCATGAATTCTTAGCTGTCTTTTAATCCAGAAACTGAAAACAAGGAGTTTAGCCAACATCAAATGACTGGCCAGGTCTGTGTGGATCAGCAGCAGCCCATATATCACATTTTAGAGATCTCAGTCTTACAGAATCCTGGGGAGCAGATGCTCCACATTTTGCTGCTGCCGGCCGCTATGCTCATTGTATTTTCTTGGCCCATACATTGTACCTGGAATGTTTGGGCTTGTTCTAAATATAACCCAAGATTTGCTTGTATTGACAGAAACCCTACGTCTGTAAAATCCCTGGCTGCACGAAGCGGTACACAGACCCTAGTTCCCTCAGGAAACACGTCAAGACTGTGCACGGGCCTGATGCCCACGTCACGAAGAAGCAGCGCAACGATGTTCACCCGAGGCCACCTCCGCTCAAGGAAAATGGGGACAATGAGGCAAGCGCCAAGCAGAGCAGCAAGGTTTCAGAGGAGAGCCCCGAGGCCAACAGCACCATGAGGAGCATGGAGGATTGCTTACAAGTCAAAATGATAAAAACGGAGAATTCTGTGGTAAGAGCAGTTGCTCTTGGCAGAAATGACGCGGCTCCTAATTTCTCCGACGCAATGGGGGCGTGAAGTATTTGCATGCCATTTACCTCTCCAGGCAGTTGTCCTTCACCTGCCAACACCCTAGAGTTCAAGTCCAGAGATGAAACTGCAGGTCAGGGCACAGTCCAGTACATTTTGCATCTTCCTACCCAGCATCAGAAATTCCCGCCCTCGTAGTCATGGGGGCCATGTGATGCCCAGTGTTGAGCTTGGCCTCTGTGCTGTGAAAGTGGGTAAAACTCTGTGTGTTGTGGTCAAATGAGCTTTACCTACCTCACCAATTTAAATTGAGCAACGACCATAGGGCATAGATTGATGAACGCTTCTTGAAGCAGAAGTCCTGGCTTAAGTAGTCCTTTTTCTCCTCCTCCCTGCACCCTTCATTGTTTTTCTTTCCAGGCTGCTGCTGCACAGCAATTTTGCTGGCACAACTCTGTTGTGGGCTGTCTGATGAAGCCAGTGGGGCTAAAAGTAGCTGGTTTCTTTTTTTGGGGTATCTTAAAGCAAGTTCAATTCCTCGATCCTGTCTACCATACACAGAAGCATAGAATCGCTGAGGCTGGCAGGGACCTCTTGAGATCATCTAGTCCAACCTCCCTGCTCAAGCAAGGTTGGCTAGAGCAGATTGCTCTGGGGTACACGAGTTCAATACACGACTCCCAGGTGCCACAGAAAATTGTAGTGGGACAATGGGACAGGGGAGTGAAACCAGGAATAAACGTAGGAGCAATTCTGTGGTCCACAGAGTACGGGCTTGCAGTCAACCGTGATCATGATTTACAGCCCCATGAGTGGCCACCCGCTGAAGCAAAGATCATTTATCAGCCTTCTGGCCATTACAGCAGCTCCGCAGTAGGCAGTAGTGTGGTCAATGGTGCTAACGAGGTGTGTACAGTGATGGGTTCAAACACATTCAAGCCTCCTTCACCCCACACAGGGAGCCCACCTGCTCCTCAGCACACCACTGCTGGTGGAGGAGACGGAGCATTGCAACACACAGGTCACTTTTGCCTTTTGATGCTTCTCATCACCTTTGTACCCAAAGTTCTGGTCTGCTGCACCAGCTCAGAGTGGGGCAGGGTATGGGCTGGATACAGCAGAAAAGACTCACCTGCAAAGGAGAGTGTTCACATAGTTCCCAGACTTCTCACTAAAGCTGAAAGGACTTTGAGCTCCAAAATATATATTTTCTTGATTTGAATCCAGGCTAAAATATTGTTATTCCTATGAAACAACATGCCCTGGAGCTACAAAGGTTTTCTAAAAGAGGTTAAGGGATGTGTTATTGGAGAGATTATTAATGAGCAGCATGTTTCAAATAGGAAGAAATTGAGTATTTTCACATCCAAAGTGTCTCTAATTGACTAAAGGAACAGTTTTACTGCGATGAGGCTCTGTATTGGGTTACGAAAACTGAGTGTGAGAACCACTGGACAGAATGACCTCTGTCCAATACTCTTCCTCCATGTGTTTTGTGCGGTTTTTTTCTATGAAAACACAGACACAATCACGGCTCCCCACCCCGTTTCTCCCGAAGGTGTGGGGTTGTTTTCCTAGGGCTCTGCGCTCCCAGGATTGCAGCCAAGCCGTCTCGCTGGCGGCAGGGCCATGGATCGGATGTTCTTCTCTGGTCTCCCTGTCCAGCACTGCGTACTTCACTTGTGCACGTCTAACAGGCGGCATCTAACGTGGGCAGGCCCACGTCCAACTCCTGTTTCCTGGTTAAGGTCAGGGTGGTGGGAGGGGTGAGATGCTTCACTGGTTCCCATCACTCCGAGGCCCCTTGTTTTGACCCATCTTTGGGTCTCATCCCAAACCCATGGAGGCGGGTGGGAAGTCTCTCCTAGGGGTTTTTCTCTGGGCCCCCAAAGAGGGAAGGCAGGGAAGACGGAGTATGGGAGAGGGGGAGATGTTGGCAATTTGTGTGGTATTCTGCACTCCCCTCTTCCTCCTTTTACTAACATGGTCCTTTCTGTTAATGCTGTCTTCGTCCTAACAACCTGTTCTTTATTCCTGCTTACCCTTCCTTACTCTACTTCCTAAGGACAGTCGGTACTAAGGTGAGCAAAGAAATCCTTTGTATTAAAATAGCTGTATAAAGCATGGGGAGGGACAGGGGATATTTGCTTGAGTGCAGAAAGGGGGAGGACACAGTGCCTGAGGATTCCCTTTGCTGCCTTTCTCCCAGCGTCACAACTTGCCATTAAATTGGGATTGCAATCTCTATCATCCCGGCTGAAGGGCAATGAGGCCATCGGAGCCAGTCAGCCCTGCCCATGAGGGCTGCTACGGACCAAAGTAAAACACTGCATCACCCTGCGCTCCCACCTTGGCCTGGGGCAAAGTACGTTGTCTTTTCAGCACTCCCATTTTCTGACAGTTGCTGGAGCATGGGCCTCGAGCAGAGAAGCCAGGCATCCTGTCTGATAGCAGCAAAGCTCCCTCAGAGCAAGTTCAGACCATTTAATGTCTGCTGCAAATAAACTATTCAATGTGAAATGCAATTCCTAATGTAAATAAAACAAATATTTATGGTGCTTATCTGCCTTATCTGCAAGTGGGAGTTTGCAAACAGTGAACCAGGTTTTTATCTGGCTGGGAAGTTTGTCAGCTAACCTAATTATATGTTAGGTTATTTTAAAGACAGAAATACGTTGTGTCTGAAATACTTAGGCCTTGATCCTGTGTTAGATAAGCCAGTGCTTGCTGCAATATACCTTGCACAACCAGGTAATGTGCTGCTTTTCTTCGAGAAGCATCTGTCCTTAATCTTTTGGAAGAACAGCATTTGGTTTCTCTCCATCCGCCAGTTGAGCCCACCATAGTTTTTCCAACTGTGGAGTGCTGCCCAGCCCTGCCTCCGCCGGGAAGGTGCCCCTGCCCTCTGGTAGAGCTGAGATCCTGCAGCGGGGAAGGGTAACAAGAGAGGGGAGAGCCTGGGATAGGGCCGAACATCTTGAGCCCACTGGGCTCCTGATTTCCTTCATCCATGTTTCTACCTGCCCAACTCCTCCTCTTTTCCTTCCCCAAGATGTGTCAGTCCAGTCCTGGTGGCCAGTCGTCGTGCAGCAGTGAGCCGTCACCCCTTGGCAGCACCAACAACAATGACAGTGGAGTAGAAATGAACATGCACAGCGGGGGAAGTCTGGGAGATCTGACGGCGTTGGATGACAACGCTCCTGTTGTGGACTCAACGGTCTCATCTGGTAATTCGACAGTCAGCCTGCAGCTAAGGAAACACATGACGACGATGCAACGACTTGAACAGCTCAAGAAAGAGAAACTCAAGACAGTTAAGGATTCCTGCTCATGGGTGAGCCCAGCTCCACAAGCCAGAAACACCAAGCTGCCTCCCATCTCAGGAAACGGTAAGCCCTGGGCCTGGGTCATGTCCAGTAGGAACCCTTCAGAGTTCGACTCGGGTTTCACAACCAAGAGTCTGTCCTGGAGGAGGATCATTTCTTATTGCCTCTGAGTCAGCCCTTGCTGGTTAGAGATGTCAGGTAAAATGGAGAGCTTGGGTGTAAACATAGCCGTCTGGTGATGTGCAACAGAAACCCAGATGCTCAGTGCTACAGAGCTAGAAAGGAGGCAGAGGTGTTGGTGTCCTTCTTGTTCCTGGGCTTGCCCAGCACCCAGCCACAGCTGTCCTCACTATCCCAGTGGCAGCCGCAAGACTGCTTGGGTTTGTTCTGGCAGTAACAATTCCCCAGGGGCTGATGTGCCTCCAGGGAGATTGCTGGAGCACAGCAGCAATCCAGACAAGCCCTTCATCCTTGATGTTACTCTGACAGGCCTTCTGTCACTTCGAGAGCTCCTGGCTATTGCCTACAGCTTCATCTGCTAGTTTCCTGCTGGCTGAGGATTCCTGATAAAGGCATCCTTATGATCCCTTCAGTGCTCCTCTAACTTTGCCAAGAAGTCCCAAGGCCTAGGGCCTGGGTTATAGTGAACCTCAGGGCTTAGTATATTGGAGCTTCTTGGTTTACTCTGGGAAGAGCCTTTGAGTGTCAACTTTTGGGCTCTCAGCCTCCTATCCCTGACTGCTGTGCATCTGTCCCAGTGAGCAGCTGTGGTTGTAACTACGTGCTGTCCCCGTGGCACTGTTCACACCAGTCCTACTTTTTTCCTACTAAGAGAAGCCCAGGCGGAGGCACTTCCTCAGCAGCTGAGCATCAGTGGGGTACACGTTGCAAAGACTCTGCAGCAGGGACTTCTTGTCTTCTCTCCCCAGCCTTCTTGCTCTTTGTGCATGGACACAGAGCTGGAGATGAAGATTCGAATTCTCTGGCAGCAAAGGAAATTCACTATCGTTCCTGTAAAATATTTGGGGGTGGCTTTGTGTGTCTATTCTGGTGCCGAGAACACTATCAAATGGAATTTTTCAGCTAACTAAACCTCTTCTTTCCCTGCAACCTTTCTCTCAGGCTCTATTCTAGAAAATAGCGGTGGTTCTTCTGCTACGCTGCCTAATCCCAGAATAATGGAGCTGTCTGTCAATGAGGTTACGATGCTGAACCAACTCAACGAGCGCCGTGATAGTACGACAAGCACCATCAGCTCCGCCTACACTGTCAGCCGCAGATCATCAGGGATCTCCCCGTACTTCTCCAGCCGCCGTTCCAGCGAGGCTTCGCAGCTCGGGCACCGTCCCAATAACACAAGCTCTGCCGACTCCTACGACCCAATTTCAACAGATGCCTCCCGTCGGTCAAGCGAG